AATAATACATACATACACTAAATCCTCTTATGAAAACTACTAAATGGAGAATGCCACCTAAAAATAGTCTGTAACAATAATTTCTATTATAACATTAGACAAAAGGGAATGTATTATATTTTGAATCGTTTTTTTTTTCTCTCATAATGATGAAATTGTCTTTTATAGTTTCAAAAGCAAGGATTGCGAGTGGCGAAAACTATTCCAGCATTGAATGGTATCTACATTTTTACAGCATACAAGGTACATTCAGCAAGATAGCCAAAAGTAATGCATCAGCGTTGTCATCTTTCCACCCGAAGGTATTTGGTGACGCCTCGATCAGCACTAGTTACGGCACAGTTGGATCATTCTTCAGGAAATATGAATTACACAATGAAGTATTCACTGCTAATATTCCAGAACTCCTACACTCTGTCACTCCAAACGCCAAAATAATTTTCATCTTACGAGACCCCGTGGATAGGTTTTATTCCGCTTACCAATATTCCCCGTTTGGACGTCGACATGGAACTCCCGGTGATTTTCATAAGCAGACGATGAATGCTATTGAATGTTTTCAATCTTGTCTAGAATCACATTCACTTTATTACTGTGGGCACCATTTAGAATTATGTAAGGTGAGGCATTCTGTATGCAACTTTCATTAATGCTTACACTGTATACTTAGGTAGTTCCGAAAAGAACTGTTTTTTGTAGACAATGTCCCAGTATTTTATGATTCAATATAATGATAGTTATATTGTGATAGTAAAAAAACACACCAGGATTTTAAACAATGCATACTCTACATGGTTTCTTTGTGGAAATCAATTCTAACTCACTTGTTAGCGATGTTTCGTTTTCACACTGGAAGCTTTCACAAGTCGGTATGTCCAGGGGGTGGCGCCAAGATTTCTCCGACAGAGGTTCAAGGTTCCCGACGGGAGGGGAGGGGATGGTGGCGATACCCCCGACGAGGGGGACGATTTCCCAGACGAGAGCATAGTGGGCGTGGCGTGGTCGATCGTCACTTAAAATGTTTTGAAAGTGGTCCAGGGGAGAATCCCCCTAAAATCTTGACAATTTAGGGGTTTCAAAGGCTTAATTAATCGATTTTAGAGTCTACGAATACGTACAAAATACATCAGTATAACTTGTTTTCTACCCGACGAATTGTGGCTTTTTTCCAGACGGGGAGGGCCCCTAGTCTCCGCCCCCCCCCCACCCACTGGCGCCACCACTGATATCAGCTGACGATGTTGAGAAAGCTTCCACTGTGGTGGAAGTGAAACGTCGCTAACAAGTAAATTGGAATTGGATTTTCACAAAACAAACCCAGAGATTATCCTTTCTATCTGTAGACATTTAATAATTGTAATATAATATTTTCAGAGTCATTCTCATGGGCACCTTGATAAATTACCTATCGGTATGTATAGTATATTTATCTCTGACTGGCTCAATGCGTTCCCGCGAAAACAGCTATATTTCTTAACTTTAACTGAATGGGAAAACAATACTGAAACAAGATTGGCGGAGATATTTCGATTTCTTGAGCTTCGTAAGTTTTGTTCATTATTTTGTAGCATTACCGAAAGCTATCGGTGATAGCGTGTAGCAATTGCATGGAAACCGAGCTTTAAGCCTGGTTTCCATAAAATCGCTACACAGTCGCTACAGCGTTCTCACTGCAATCCTTGCACTGCGTAGCTGTCCCCACCAACGGAATCGGGAACGCTCCCTGATGATTCAACTGACCAATCGCGATTGAGTGTTTCGATTTTTAGGGAAACCAGGATTTACGACAGTCGTATGAAGCACTGAGTGCTACCTTTGTGTTAAAAGATTGAAGATTGTTAGTCTGTACTTTGTCAAAGCGTTCTTGAATTAGAAGGTCTCAAAATTTGATTGGTCTTGAAAATTGTAGGACGGACTGTAGTTTAATCAATGATTTCATTTTCGATGACATGTTAATTAAAGGCCAATGTTGTTTCTCCCACCCCCATAAGATAAGCTCTGTCCACACTATAAAATATTTATATGAATAATAAATGTGATGTGCCTATATATGTGTATGATGATGTCATATTACACCCGAATATGGGCATATCACATTTATTTATTTGACACATAAAAAGTTTGGGCAAATCTTTAATACTAGGGAACTTTCAAATGCACGACTACGGTAGGACGTAGAATTTAATGACGTCACTAAAAGTCATCTGCGCATGCGTGAACGTTAAGTTCTTCTCGTCGCGTGGATTTTAGGACGCAATTTGGCCAAACCTACGTATGCAGAGAACGTAGGACGCCCGGTAGGACGGTCACACATGAGTGATTCCGTTCTAGCGTCAAGTCGAACAAATCGAAAGCTTCCTATTATCAATGTGGACAGAGCTTAATTTATGTTATTCCACTTTCAGGTCCAACTGGAAGAATCACATTCGATGCCAAGAAACCACCAATAAACAGCAGACGATACAAAGACATGCTGCCGAAGACACGGCTGATGTTACAGGAATTTTACCAGCCATTTAATACCAAATTAGTACAACTTTTAAATGACGAAAAATTTTCATTTTCTTCTTTAAATGGTTTGACATGACACAATGTTTATTTAATTGCACATAATTATTGTAGAAAAGAGCAACATTGATGAGCTGCAACATTTTCTGTTACACAATTTAAATAAGATGTTTTTAATTTTTTAACATCTAAGCGTCTCTGTTATAATGTTCTGCTGCAATAGGTGATGAAACTTATTTTGTTTAACTATAATTTCGTATAAATAATATATATTTGGCTTTGTGTAAAGTTATTTTAGTACTTCAGAACTTCTTTCATTTCTTGTTTATGCAATTAAGGATGATTGCCGTTCTCGTTTTTGTTGTAGTGTTGTATACCAAAAAAATTCAATCAATCAATCCATCAATTGATGTATGACAAATCTTCTAGAGTAAAATTAAATCTTCCAACCAAGGTTCGAACTCGAATCGCTTTGCTCCTTTGCTGTAGGCCTATATATACACGCTGAAATCTTAACAAAAGGAGGTGTGGGGTTTTGCAGTTAAATTTGAATCGGACTGGGGGCACAGTGTTTTATTTTACTCGATTATGTATGCAGAAAACATTGGGACGATTATTAATGCACATTACCACACACGTTATACTATAAAACGTAACGAGTAAAATGACTAAAAATATCTTCATCTGCAAATTAAAACCCGGTCGATAATATTAGCATAGAATCTCTGAAACAGACTTATCAATATCGTATCATATAATATTTAATTTGTATAGATATTTAAAAAAAAATAGAATTAGGAGACTGCGTGTGAGTGCGGACATGTCGTTAACTTATTTATATTCTTTGAGGGAGAGATATTTTTTTTGTGTGAGTGATCCTGTATATCCAGTCAAAAGTCATATCTCGGTGAAACGTAAGAGAGTTCGGATGTCGGATGCTTGTTTGTAGAGCTTGAATTATAATAACTGAATAAAATGTTCAATGCGGTCATCATATTTATAATATTATTCAGTGGGACAATAGCTGAAGGTAGGTGTGCATTTCCGTTATATAACCAATAATGTGAAGAGGTGTTGTATTTATGGCAACCCCATACTTTTAGCACTACATTTATGTAACATACAATATTAAAATTGTATATCAGGCGTTGAAGCAAAACATTATGACATAGAGGCATGTAGATTGTAGAATACTGTATTTATTTTGAAAAGAAATGTCTTCAACCAAGATAGGCCTATATGTATATACCTCTGACGGGATTCGAACCTGCGAACTCTCGCTGTCAAGGCGAGCGTCATAACCATTATACCACAGAGGCTTCATTGTTGAACAGATTCAAATTACCACCAGATACAATTTATAACATAATAAGTACGGCTGGAAACAAATAGTTGCATATAATATAAATCAAGTTAGCCGTTAACTGTTAAAATATATATAAATCATCAAAGAAAGGTAAATACAGTGTTCAAGTAAAGGACATGATAATACATCGTGTAGCATAGCTCTCAACTAATGGTTTCCTATAAATAAATGAATAAAGAAATTGTGTAATGAAATGCCTCTGAGAGGATTCGAACCTGCGACCTCTCGCTGTCACAGCGAGCGTCATGTCCTTTATTCGAACACTGTATTTACCTTTCTTTGATGATTTAGGCCTATATATAATCTAACAGTGTTAACGGCTATCTTAATATATATATATATATATATATATATATATATGAATAAAGTATATATATATATATATTTATATATATATTTGTGACAGTGAGACAGTGATACATTGCTTTCTACTTATGTAAATAATTACAAATAAATATACATATAATAAAATGTAGATACTAGTCTATTGTCGTCACTATGTCTGTAGTACTACTTTTATCTAGACGTACACGTAGTGGACGGTATAGTTGCATCGCAGAGTACAACTTCCGACGGTAATGTGGCAAGCAGGGCGATAGATGCCAACCTCGATACTGATCTCCGACGCGGTTCATGCTCCTTGACAGGTAGGCCTAAGGGTACGGTGGGTTATGGGTGGACGCTAGATGGGAGGGTGGGGGTGGAGCCGATTTCACCAACTATAAGGCACATTTCCCCGATTACATAATCAGGCGGCTCAAGGCAGCCCAGTCCTTCAAAGGGGATACAGAAGGCGAGGATCCCCCACAAATTCAGACAATTGAAACATTTACTTGACTTACCTAATCAAATTTAGTGTTTCTCTACGACGCATTGTGCTTATTTCCCCTGACGGAGCAGACACGGCCGGGTTTCGACCCCCCCCCCACCCAACATTTGCGTCACCACTGGTCTATCGGTTTAATCAAGCCCAAATATTGAATTAGGGCTTACATCAATTGTAGACTGAAGGCTAAATTCTAATTTTCTTTTTAGTTTAAAAGATTCCATCAACTTTGTTTGAGTATGTACTAATTAAATTTTGGCAAAAATTTGAATTATATAAGCAATATCATATTCTGGCAGCAGGCACCATAGGAAGCTTTAAAAATATATTTACCGTGAAGTCAGTGTAGTTGGCAGGTATTATACCAATTTATATT